TACAGCATAAAATTAAGTTGCGATAGACATCTTTTAGCTGCGGCACATAACAATATAAGAGTTGGTCCGGTATTAGCAGTATTGAAAGCTATCCTTGTAGTAGCTGATGCAACTGCCGGAAAACAGCCACCTAAAAAACCAGATGTGTCTCTGACTCATTCAAGTAAAGGAGGTGGACCTGGTAGTGTGGGCGTCGGTATTGGTGTTAGTAGTGGTGGACCTGGAGAATTATCAATTAGTCACATTTTAGGAACCAGTGATATTTTAGGAGGTGGTGATGATCTTGGACTTGATCTTGCAATGTCTTCCTCTAGTAGCAGTGCTGGTATGACTTCCGAAAATGTAAAAGGTCTTTCGGACTTCGCTCAGCATGTTTTACGTCAAATTTGTAGTCAAGAATGGGTCCTGGAAAGGTGTTTACAAAATCCTGAAGAACTTTGTCATCCTGACATGTTATTAGATAGTATGTTAACTCCACGCCAAGCACAAAGATTATTACACATGATCTGCTATCCTGAAACACCAACTGAAGCTTTTATCGATCAAAAAACGCATATTACGAGTATTCTGGAAAACTTAGAACAATGGAGTCTTAGGATGTCTTGGCTTGATCTACAATTAATGTATAAACAATTCCCACCTGGCTCTGTCGATCTTTCTCAATGGCTAGATACTGTTGCAAAAGCTGCTATAGATGTATTTCAATTAAATTCTTTATCAAGTAAAACTGATAGAAGATCAGGTTCTATATGGCTAGTGGCTCCTCTTGTTTCTAAACTACCAAGTGCTGTACAAGGAAGAGTTCTTAAAGTTGCAGGACAAGTATTAGAATCTGGTAATTGGTCAAAAACAGCTGGTCGTGAAAGAGGTAGATCTAAATCGCTGTCACTTTTTAATCATCAGCCATTCTTATCGTTGGTATTGACATGTCTGAAGGGACAAGACGACCAAAGAGAAGGTTTATTGACATCATTACATTCACAATTGTCTCAATTTCTTAATACAAGCAAAGAAGAGAAAAATATAGGTTCCGAAGATCCCAAAGCAAGAGAAGTATTACAAGATGCTCTTCAATTAAGATTCAGCTTAGTTGGTGGCGTTTTTGATACAATACAACGAAATACAACTGCTACTACTGATTGGGCTATTTTACTTGTTCAGTTAGTCAGCTATGGGGTAATCGACCTAAACAATAACTCAGAACTATTTACAACTGTTATAGACATGTTAGCAACATTAATACATTCCACTTTAGTCTCAGACTCACAGTCTGAAAAAGATGAAAATAAAAAGCATTATCAAAATTTAATGAAAAAATTAAAAAAGGAACTTGGTGATAGAAATTCTCCGAGTATTCGATATGTTAGACAATTATTACCGCTGCCAAAATTGACGATGGAGGTTATTACTTGTGAACCAGTTGGTTGTTTGACGGATACTAAGGGAAATAAAATCGCTGGTTTCGATAGTATTGATAAAAAGCAGGTAAGATGAAGTCACTTACATAAAATAAAATGAATATCTACCTTATTTTGAAAATTATCTATTTTAACGACAAATACGTATGAACAGGGCTTACAAGTGTGTGATTCGCAAAGAGTTTCTGCATGGGAATTATTAGAAGGCCATAAAAATCCAGCACCTTTATCTTGGGCATGGTTCAGAGCAGTTAGACTAGAACGTAAACCGCTTACTTATCAAAATGCGCACAAATTATTAAGGTATCATACACACAGTCAGCTTAGACCACCTAACTACTATTTGGAACCGCCACCATTGCCGCCAGAAGATCTGGAACCAGACAAAAAAGAATCTGAACCAGGTAAAGCTGATACTCCAATGAGCATTGACTCTCCCGGTAGAGTTGGTGGAAGTGTGGGCAGTAGTGGAGTAGGCAATACTGCGACTAATGGAAAAGGGAAAGCTATGAAAGCTAGAAGACACAGAAGAAACAAAGGTGCTGCAACGCCTACAGCTCCTGTGACACAACAAATACAAGTCAGTGTAATCATTATAACAATTATTTTAGGCATTTATAATATATTTTGAAATTTATATCTCATAAATGATTTTGTAGCAACCACCATCTCAGTTGCAACAAATGGCTTTCAACAATCAACAAGCAGCTGTTGCTCAGCAATCTGGAATGTTTACTGGGCAACCACCACAGCCTCAACAACAATGGTATGCAAATCAACAAAATCATACGCCAGCGCAGCAATATGGATATGGACAACAATTGCCACCAACACCAGTCGGAGGACCTCGTTATGAAAGACCCGGAATGAATAATCAGTCCAAACAAGCATTATCTCAAATGTTACGTTTACGATTACCAAATCAATTTATGGGTACTCAACAACAACCTAATCCACCGCCAGTAGCTGGTCCAAGTGCTTTCCAAGGCATGCAAAGGCAACAGTTTATTAGACAGCAATTAAGAGCACAACACGGTGCGCCGGGTATTAATCCACAGCAAAATATGTTTGCACCGCAACAACAGCAACAACAACAGCAACAGCAAGGAATGTATGCTGGAATGCAGCAAGGTGAAATATTATTGATTCAAAAAATTATAAGTCACGAAAATATGAAAATGTCTTTAATTTTGAATGTGTGATTATTTACAGGAATGAATCAGAATTATGCAGGATATGGCGGACAACAAATGATACCACAACAGCAACAACAGCAACAGCAGCAACAAAACCCTCAACAGACGCAACAGCAACAGCAATTATTACAACAGCAACAACAACAACAAGGAATAATGAATCAACAACCAAATATGATGTTCACAAATCAACAACAAATGATGGGACCTCAACGAGGTCCGGAATATATGCCACAACAAAGAATGCAGCCTGCTGCAACAAGGCCACCTTACTTACAAGTACAACTAAAGTTACCAATGGAATATCACGAATATGCGATGATTTCTTACGTTTAATTTTATCTTCATAGGCACCAAATGTTACAATGAATGCTATGGGACCAATGGGTGGAGGTCTTCAAAACCAACCTGCTCCACCATACAGACAAGCAACTGGCAAACCAGGTGCAGTAGGAGTAACTGGAGTTACAACAAATGTTAGTTTGCAACAAAACCAACAATTCCAGCAGGTAGATTTTATACGTATTTAAAGTTAATATATATATATATATATATATATGATTTTAGAGACATAAGTTATTTTCTATTTATATATAAAAATAATTTTTTTATATAGCAACAAGCAATAAATCAACAACGTATGAGACAGCAAATGTTAGCTTTGCAACAACAGCAACAACAGGCACAGCAACAACAACAAGCACAACAGCAACAGCAACAACAACAGCAAGGTGCTGCTGGTGGGCAACAACCAACTCCCCAATTAGTTACGCATTTACAACGGCACTTGAGTCAACCACCACAACATCCCTATCAACATCAACCACCAGGATATTAAAACTAAAAAGAACATGGTACGATGCAATGCAGTGTTCTTTCAAAATGTATACGCACTCCATTTATTAATCTCGTACATTCTTGACTTAAACAAAATTGTAATTCATTGTTTAAACGTGTACCTCCACGACCTATGTGTTCAGAATATTAAGCATTAACCCTCTATAAAGTCACGTATGTAACTTTAAAGTTACCTACTTTACCCAATTATATGTATTTTGTAAATCTTAATATTGTTATAAATGTATCACAATTTATATCTCGAAAATTAATACTTGCTAAGTTTAAGTTATACTTATGCTAGAAGATAACACACACATAATTATATAATAATATAAATTATATTATAAATTTCACATTACATAATTTTTAGTTGAACAAAAAATTATAAATTGAACTAATGTAGAGGGTTAATGTAAACGCATAATATCATAAATCCTGAAAATCTGGATCTTCTTTATTGACAATAGTATAATAATTCATTATTATATTATTTTATTATAAGTACTGCTACTAGTTTATCTAATATTTTAATTTACCTAGTCTTATCAATTTTGTATTGTATATATCGTATTTTAGACTGTCGTACATGTATTTATCATCGACATAAATTGCAACAATATAGATAAAGCGACATTATATTGTAATAATATGAGAAATTCTTTACAAAGTCGCTTTTAATTTTCACTGTGTCCAAAAGAGTATAAAAACTAGACTATAAAAATGAATTATATTAGGTTGTTCAATAAGTTCGCGTGATTTATTCTAAGAAAATACACGGCCAAAAAATCCGTACGAACTAATCGTCCAACCTAATATTTTACTTCTTTATTAAGAAATGATTAATTAATTGTGAACTTAATGCAAAGAAATTAAGACAATTTTGTAAGATGCATCTAAAAATTTCATCAATCTTTTTATTTCAATTTATTTTTTGTAGATTAATCTTATAACATATTATAATCGTGTATATATAATACCAATCTGCTAGAATTTACTTTTGAATTTATTCAAATTTCGAATTAATTTCTATCAAGATTAAAAACTCTGCATATTCAAAAACTAAAGAATGTCAAAATATCTTATATTTAATGATTATATAAAGGAAGATTTCCTTTATTAAATTGTAATTCATAACTTTGTATATTATGTGGGGAATTACCTTTCGAATCCTTACCTTTTGAATCATTCTCATAATATGTAAACGTGTATAAATTATGGATTTTTTGACACCGAACTTTTGAGCAAGTTATTTTCACTTATATATATTGCATTTTAAGTTTTCATCCAGGAAAGCTAACAATTCCTAATGTTCAAATTTTCCCGGGCAATTCGAATATCTTTTGTCACTACTAATATCACCATAACCTAACATATATTCATTATTTTAAATATATAATAATTAATTAATTAATTAAAAATTTATTTCTTACAATGAAAATAAATGTTTTTAATAATTAAGCTTTGGACATTAATGAATAATATATATTTTCAAATGAGTGATTTTGATTATACACGCTTTATGATTGGTCGAATAGTTTGTAGTAATGAAAAGAATCGATTCCGTTTTGTCGATCCATTGTATATGTCTTCCGGTTGAATCTATCATCTCTTCAAGATGGGTACGTTTTTACGTTCTTCAATTTTATTGTTTTAAAATGTTATATTAGTTAAATGTTTACGTTTTAATAAAAAATAAATTTAATAATAATCGCGATATTTTAATAATAATAATATTTTAAATATTCGTATCTCAAATATACTTTTAAATAATTAAGAGTGTGCATAACCTCAAACCAAGCTCTACCGCATGTTTTATTCTTCTTCTAAATGAAATTATAATCGAAATTTTATTATGAAATTTACTTAAAGCAATAGCAAACAAAATTTAAATAAAGATTCTAATTTCAATCATTTGTTTTTTTAGGAAAACCACGTGGAGTTCGTACTGCACGTAAACATGTGATTCATAGACGTGACCAACGCTGGAACGATAAAGACTACAAAAAGGCCCATTTGGGGACAAGGTGGAAGGCTAATCCTTTTGGAGGTGCCTCTCATGCAAAAGGAATCGTTTTGGAAAAAGTGTAAGTATTTTATATTAAAGTATAATAATTAACTGATTATAAGAAACATTAAATTATTTGTACTTTTTAGTGGAGTAGAAGCTAAACAGCCTAACAGTGCCATCCGAAAATGTGTGAGAGTACAGCTCATCAAAAATGGCAAGAAAATAACTGCATTCGTACCTAGAGACGGTTGTCTTAATAATATTGAAGAAAACGACGAAGTTTTAGTTGCTGGATTTGGACGTAAAGGTCATGCCGTTGGTGATATTCCTGGAGTACGTTTTAAAGTAGTAAAAGTAGCAAACGTTTCTTTGCTCGCTCTTTACAAAGAGAAAAAGGAACGTCCAAGGTCTTAAATATTGAATCACATCTTTTTTAAAAACTATGTAATTTTCAATATTAAATGGTATTAATTTAATTTATACAAATCTAAAGAATACACAAATTTCGTAATTACCTCTACCTCTAGTTTACTTATTTTTTTCTCTTTTGTTTATCTGTTAGGAAAACAATTAAAATTACATAGTCGCTACAATTGCAGCTAGTTTATGTATGAGCTTTCATGAAGTGCATCTATTAGTTAATTACCTGTGCAAATAATTCATATTAGAATTTTTTTATATAAGATGGTTAATATTATAAAATGCAAATAAAAAATATTATTGACTTCTGCTTCATAATAAGAAATAGAATTATTTTGAATAAATGTTTAATAGGAGCATTTTTATTAATTGGAATAATATATTATACTGTTGTACTTTATTCAGAATTAATTTATAAACAACGCTTAATATTATTCAGTAAAAAATTAACCTGCAATAGAATATAATTTATTCAAAATATGTATTTCTAAAAATTTTATATATTTATTAATTGTATCCAATGAAAATGAACATTTATTATATCTACTTTATGATTGGTCGAATATCTTATAATGTCTACGAATCAAAACGAAAGAAAACTGCATGTTTTCGTTCAATTGAACAGTCTATCTTTATCGCTTGTTTGGTGCTCAACTCAAGATGGGTAAGCATTTAATTATTTTAAATCATTACATATTTGCAATTTGTGTGTTTTAATTAAAAATATAGAATAATAGTCATAATCTATTAGTGATAAAAAAATTTTATTCACATGTATCATTAATAAATATATTCATATATATACATGTGAGTGAGTAAAAGTGTGTATAACCTTAAAAAAAAGTTCTATCGTGTATTTCATTAATTATTCGTATGAAATTTGATGATTGCAATAAATATTCTGAAACGAATTATTAAGAATTAATTAAAATTAAAAATATAGTATTTAATTTATGCAATAGTAAAAAAAAACGATGATATTCTAATCTCGAACGTTGACAGGTAAACCTCGAGGTGTTCGTACTGCACGCAAACATGTGATTCATAGACGTGACCAACGTTGGAATGATAAAGATTACAAAAAGGCCCATTTAGGAACAAGGTGGAAGGCTAATCCTTTTGGAGGTGCTTCTCATGCGAAAGGAATCGTCTTGGAAAAAGTGTAAGTATTTTATATTAGAGTATAATAATTAACTGATTATAAGAAACATTAAAATATTTATACTTTTTAGTGGAGTAGAAGCTAAACAGCCCAACAGTGCCATCCGAAAATGTGTAAGAGTACAGCTCATCAAAAATGGCAAGAAAATAACTGCATTCGTACCTAGAGACGGTTGTCTCAATAATATCGAAGAAAACGACGAGGTTTTAGTTGCTGGATTTGGACGTAAAGGACATGCCGTTGGTGATATTCCTGGAGTACGTTTCAAAGTAGTAAAAGTAGCAAACGTTTCTTTGCTCGCTCTTTACAAAGAGAAAAAGGAACGTCCAAGATCGTAAATCTTTGACTATGTATCGTTTTAAAACTATAACATTTTTTAATATAAAATCATTTTAAAACATTTCTATATTACATGATATTAATTTAATTCGCATATATTCAAACACCATATGAACCGATTTCTTTCGTATTCATCATCGCATTTTATTATTTTTTATTTTGAATTATGTGGAAGCAAAAAACGATATATAAAATAATTAATTATCGTTACACATATATTTAATATCATCTGTAGATATCCTAATGTCCTCTATAATAGAATTAAATGATTGTTTATTGAGACTGATTTCTTCTGACGGCTTTGGTAATGCAAGTTTGGGTATCTCATTTTTAAAATGTAACATCTATAAGAAACAATTATTAGTATAATTTATATGCAAAGATCATTAAATTTCAAAAGAATAATATATTACCTTTGTAAATATTTCAAATTCAGATAGCATATTTTTGAAATATTCATCCATACAATTTACTGTAGTATTTTCATCTTTCTCAGTTGATACAAAGTAAGAAGAAATAGAATCGTAGGTATCCTTCAACATTTCCATTCGTGAAATAAAATCCTTTGGTTTTTCAGCATTATTCGTTTCTTCACCATTCTCCTATTATAAATATAACTACATATAGATCTGATAGTTAAAACGAACAAATCTTAATACCTACACTAAATTCTAATAATTCTTTTTCTATAGAGGTTTTATTAAACTCCTTAGGTTCGTCTAATATTCGTAATTCTTCAAAATATTTAACAGCTTCTGAATAACTCATTTTTGAAGATACATTGTTCAAATTATCGGTATCTTCAGTTAAATGCACCTGCAGATTTAAAAAAAAAATTGTATTAGACGTTGATTATATAATTGGTAAATTGATATAAAAGAATTTGCTTATTAACTTTTAATAAATTAGCAACTGTATGCTCTTCCTTGGTGGTAGAAACATCATTTGAATCTGCATGAATCTTTTTAATAAATTTTAATAATCTAACTAAAGTAGAAAATTGTTCCTCTAATGTACAATTACCCTTGAAAGTAAAATAAGATATTATTAAATGAATAGTTCAAATTTAAATTTATTTATTATTTATTAATAATCATTTACCAATAATATATCTTTGTCAAGACTAATTCCAAGCTGAGAATAATACTTAACGAGTTTATCTAAAAAGAAATAAGTAGATGTATTAAATTGAAATTATTTTCATGTTAAAGTAATAGTACAAATTAATGTTTAAAAATAGTGAAGATTATTTTGAAAAATAACACATGTATGAATTAGTATTCATAATTACTAAATATGTTAAAAATGCACTATATTAATTGCTATACTTAATATAGTGTACCTTGTAAAACAGGACCTTGAAGTTTTCCTAATTCAATTGATAACGTAGGTAATTTTTCTGTTAGTAACCACGATAGTAAATGAATTCTATTTTCACCAGATAATATAGTAGAATCTATATTATCTGGTTTTGCTTTGGTAATTTCAGGATAACGTATTTTGAATAGAACATCATACAATTCTAACATAATCGTATCCATCGTTATCATCTTGAAGTATAATATTTAAAAAAATATATATATATATATATAAACTAACTGTCTGTTGAAGTTTAAATGTAATTTTGGAACAAGTGATGCTACCTTATGGAAATAATCGTAAAATAACTTTAAGGTCCGTTTACATGTATCCGAAGAAAATCCTTAAGAAAATGATTTTACCAATAATGAAATTATATTTTTATTGAAATTATGCAAAATGTATTTTTAGAAATATTTACAAGATTATTCTACGTAATATATTTATTATTATGTTTATTTATTTATTATTTAATATTAGAAAATGTCATTTCCATTTTTCCGTTAATCTTATCAGATTGAAATTGATTATGTTGGTAACAGTGGGTAATTTCCTACAGCGCGTTTCTAAATTATCTTTTATGAAACTGTATTTTTTATGCTGTGTATCTATTAAATTTTATTTTGAATTTATCCTATTATTTGAAACATCAAACGGAAGAATGGGAAGAAAAATAATAACGTATAATCAACATTTCCGTTAATATGTAATATATTGTGGTAATATGTAATATATTGTGGTTTTGTGTTTTATGTCATATAAAAGTTTATTTTCTTTTAAAATCAAAATTAGTGATAAAAGAAAGGAATTTATTATCAATGCTGTTAATTCGTAATAATTTCTATGAATATTCATTCGTCATTTGAATGATTTTTCATAAATTGTAACCAACAGAAGAGTTCAAGACAAAAGCAAGGTTATTGTCATGGATAAAAGAGAAGTTATCTGTATCTCATCTGACGATGAAAATGAAAAGGTTTGTTAATTTATCAAACTTTATCTCTTTTATTTTTTATATCTATTGTTACATGAAAATAATAATGATTAATATTTGTCATTATTTTTGAATTTATTTATATAATTTCTTGTAGATAAACGATAAAGAAAAACCTCAACCCTGCAGCAATAAAGTTACTAAGCTTAATGTTTCAAATGAAATTACAGCAATTGCATGTAGTAATGCAGGACAATATATAATTAATAAAAAACGTAAAATATCAGAAATAGATGGGACTAGTGATGTAAAGAATAATGGTAAAGATAAAAGAATTAAGATAGAATCATGTCAAGAGACAAATAGTCTAATAACAAAAGATAGTTGTAAAGAAAATGGTGTCGTAACGGAAAAATATTCAACTGTACCTGTAAATAAGAAAAATTTAAAGCCACAGTTGATCGTAAAGGAGAAAAAAAATATATCCCTTCCAGAACAAGATATATTTCCTAGTTTTTTAAGTTTGTGTTTACAAAAAAGACGAGAACCCGCAATGGAAGTAATAGTTAATAAACTTAAAAGACGGTATGAACAAATGAGTCCTGTATATGTAAAATCTGAAGCTTTTCAAAATTTTTTGAACAAAAAGCGTAATGACATTTTGTCTTCCGATAATATGATATATCAACATATTATGGATGTCAAGATTGAGATGAAATCTAAATCTAATAAAAATTCAAAAAGTGCTTTACAAAATGAAACGAATAAAACAAAAGTTTGTAAAGATGTATCATTGAATTCTCAAGCATCTTCATCTTCAAGTGTTGTGAATAATATAAAAGAAACAGATGAAGAAGATTTTGAAGATGATACCATGAATTCTAATATGAAAAGAAAATTGAAGAAAATAGAAAAAGCAATGAATATTTGTAGTAAAAGAATCAAAATATTAGAAGAGCGTGAAGTAAACTTTGATGATGAAGATGACAGTAACTACATTAAGCTTGAAAAATATAAAGAAAGAATGGTCCAATTATATAATGAATATTGTCGCATAACTGGTGATAATCAAGATGCAGGTCGTCCATACTTGAGACCCAAACATTTAAATACAACTCAAATTAGTAGCGTTGATTATGCAATTACCAATTTCATTAATTCAAAGATCACTAAAAGAAACAAATTAAAGAAGAATGGCAGATTTACGGATGATTTAATATTTCCAGATTACAGAGATATATTGAAATGTGTTTCAAGTTGTAATGAAAGAAATAATTTAGGATTATCTAAACAGAAGCAAGCTCAAATTGGTAAGTGTATTCTAACAATAATAATTTAATCCTTTTTCTACTACGGTACTAGCAGTCAAAACACAAAGTCTTAACCATAGTTTATTTTTATAACCTAAAATTCACTTTCATTTAGTATTGTATATCCCAGTTGCATGCCGTAGAAAAAGGATTAAATATGTAATAAAAACTAACTTTATATATCCTAATTAATATCTGTTATAAAGCCAAAAAAGCTTTTACCGATTTGGGAGAACATTTACAACGTGCTAGGCGTATTGATTACTGGGATACATTTTCTTTATCTTTGGAAAATAAAGAAGAAGATCCAGCTTTGAAAGATCAAGAACTTGCTAAAAAATTACGTGATAATCATGTGATTGGTCAGCAAAAGCTAAGTAAAATATTTCAAGATTTTGTGAAAAAACAAGAAGAAATGATATTACCAGAAGATGATGCTAATACGGAAAATGATGATAACGAAGACAGCAATGTAGAATCTAAGGATGAAGATGAAAATAGTGAAGAGGACGATGAAGATGAAGATGAAGATGAAGATAAAAATAAAGATGAAAATAAAGGTGAAGATGACAATGACAATGAAGATAACATTATTAATAGTGAACCAAATAAAAATGAAACAACAAGTAATTCTCTGGAAAATGGAACTAAATTGGAGAATGATTTATCAAAGACTTGTACAGATAAAGATAACGAAGATGTACTGATAACAAATGTAAAAAAAGTAGTTGAGTGTTCTGAAAATGTGATTGAAAAATCTAGTTCATCGACAAAATCAGAAATATCAGTAATTCAACCACCATCAACATTAAATAACAATGACACAAAAGGTAAAATTAGTAGCTAATATTATTTAAAAAAGAATGAAGTATTTAAATATGGAATTAATTTTGTATTTGTCATATAATGATAGTATATATTTTGTAGATAAAAATGATGAAATTGTACCACTGGATAATGATGACTGCAATAAAACAAAGGCAGATAACAAACCTATATTACGGGTACGTTCATTTGCAAAACATCCTACAACCTGGGAAGATAACAAGCAAAAAGTTCAAAATGAAGAAAACGGACCATCGAAAGAGGTAATTGATCTAACTAATGATGTAACTGGGTCAAAAGTAAGTTTACCTAATTATAAATTAAAAGTGACAACAAATGCTTCGAAAAAAAAATACAAAACTTTTTTACTACCCACAAATTTTCAAGACAAAAATATTATTAGCGTTAAAAATATTACTAATAATTATTTAAAATTAAATGCAAAACAAATAGATAAAGCAAAGTTTAAACCCATAACTTTATTTAAAAAAGTAGTTGATTTAGGTTCCCATAATACTATTATACATTTGCCACATTCTTCTGATCGACAAAATATAAGTAGTAAAGAGAATAATAACGAGACAAGACAAGAAAAAAAGATTATGCATCTTCTTATACCAGCGGAAGAATTTGATAAGAATTTAGTAGGAGTGCCTGTTAAAAAGAATTCAGAAAATAATTCAAAATGACTGCAAACGAGACAAATATACCTTGATTACTCTGACGATATGTATGATCTAACAATACTTATAATTATTAGTACATATGCTTTAGTGTTGAATATTTTATATATGTATTTAAATATTAAAACCATTGTATTTATATGTAGAAATAATACAATTATAAATTGAATAATACATACAAAAGTTATTAAAAGTATGTATGCGCGTACGTATGAATGTGTGTATGTATTCTTTCTTTTTTTTAAATTATTTATTTTAGGTAATAATAATATTTTTATGCATTCATATGTTGCATTATTAACTGTGTTAAAACAAAATCAGCATTCAATAAATTTTCTACTATGTCAAAATGATCGATGTCACGTAATAAGATGTATTCTACCTTATCCACGAAAGACATAGCTTTCTGGAAACAAAAACAAAACAGAAACAAAGTAGAATAAAATAGACAACAGTGTTTAATTAATTTATCATATCGCATAAGAATTTGATTAATTTTATACAATAGAAGTACACTTACTTGAGCATATTCGCGTGTTTCATTAATAAATATAGGAGAATCATACTCTCCTACAGTCACAATTACTTTCAAATTTTTAATGGGAGCATATTCTTTAGTGTCAAGAGTAGTCAAACTGAATTCTTTAATATCATCTCTGTAAAAAAATATTGTTAACAAATATTGTATGTAAGAAACGAAAAACAAAAAATGATGATACAATATACTTACTCCGTAAGTTTCAAAGCTTCGTTGTATGAGGTGTTTACAACAGGTTCTATATTATAAATTCCGCCAATGAGCAAAACACCTTTAATTAATTTAAAGTATCCTAATTCTGTCATATATTTAATCCATATTGTATCATGCAATAGGGCGGCTGTCAAATGTGCACCGGAACTATGACCAGCGATCCAGACGCACCTGTTGTATATTATGTTAATGTTCAATAATATCGCGCAATAATAGATATTTGTATGTAAGAATTATATTAATAATTTTTATTAATATAAAAAAATGTGGATTATATAATTATACATACCGACATCCGGAATTTTGGGCAGAACTTACGATCTTTTCTACCGCAATTTTGATTTGTGAAACGATGTCTTTCAATTTAACTGAGAACAACAAATTAATTATTAATTCAACGAGTTGATTTTAGTTTTTTTTTTCTTCTTTTTTTTTTCTAATATTCGTTTAATTATAATCATATAACAGTAAAAAAATTTGTAAATAGATCTTACCGTCGGGACATAAATCAAAACCGACGACTGCTACTTTAATTTTATTTTTAACGAGAACTGATACCGCAAACCCTGCGAAATCTTTGCTAAATTCTTGCCAATAACCACCGTGAATAAATATTAAAATTGGCGCGTCTAAGAACAAAAAAAAAAAAGAAAATACAATAATTACATTTTAACTAGTTTTTTTTTCTTTTTTTTTTTTTTTTTCTTAATTATTCATTGATACCATCAGGCAAATCTGTTCCATAAATATCGTATTTCGTGCGTTCTGTTGAACCATATGGAATATCCAAAATGCATTTCGTAGTGTTTCGTGCCTTTTTCGTTACTGTAAAACAATTTTTTATTATCAATTATATTTTTCAGATTGTTTTTCAAATTTGTATTTATTATTTTTTTGTTATGTTTTTTTTTTTCTTTTTTTATTAGGACTTAAACAATTAAAGTAGTCGTACCATCTGCTGCAAAAATTAAATATCGAGACATCATCTCGGGTGATTTAAATCTTTTACTCCATTCGCTTGGTGAGTACAATTTTTCTAACTGACAGAAAAAAACAAACGAAACGTTTGTTAATAACACATAGACAGACAAATAATGAAGAAAATATGTAATATTATTATTATTATTTTAAATAAGTAAATAAGATAGACATTCTCATGAAGAATAATAGTAAATAGTATTGATCATAGAAAACTTTACTTACAGTCGACATTTTTCTTCTCCTTTAGTTATCACCAGACTGCAAGTATGCAATGAGATCACAATAATTATTATTCTAATTGTAAAAACCTTGTGAGATTATTTGCATTAGATTACTTGATTTATATGTTGTCGTATTTACTGCGTAATGCTTATTAATTAGGCAGAAAACTGCAGAGTAAAAAAATAAACAACAACAAGTACTTACAGTAAAGTCAGATGTCAAATATTTCTCATAGATGGCGACTCATGTTCATTTTACGATTATCGTCTAATGGAGAAAAAACAAACTGAAGGATAATGTAAGTAAGAAAAACTATATCGATAAAGAAAAACTTGATATGTTTATGTAAACGAAATTATTGAAACAAACGTTTTATAAAGAAAAAAAAAAAAAAAGCAACGGTTAATTTAATCGGAATTTTTAAACTTATCGTTAATGAAATTCATTAATATTCAAATATTGATAAATGTTACAGTTATTTTATTAATCATTTATATATTACAATATTATAGTATCCGAAGAATGAAGAATAAAAATGATCCAAAGATAATAAGATACTCTTTTCTCTTAATAGCCCAAGGTCGAAGGTTGTGGGTTGCGTGTAGTAACCATCAGAAGAAAGAGAAGGAGAAAGATAACGGTAATTTAAGAACAATTTGAATGTTCCGCCAATAATTAAACGTTTAACCGGATATCGAATGAAACATTTCCGAATTACGAAATGAGAGGAATGCGGAATGCAATTTGGATAAAGGATTACTGCTCTATTTATATTTTAATTGGATTACTGCCGAAGTAAATTTGTATCAAGAGAGGAAAAGAAAGAAGGGAATAGAAGATGATTCAATTTACAGGAGTACAAATTTTTCTTCATAACAATAAGTGATTTAAAATGTCTGTTTAAAACGAGGTATCTTCCCGTACGTAAACCTCAGCAAAGAAGCAAGCAAAGTTTGCAAGGTTGAGGCACACCAAAACCAGAAAAACCGGCCCCTCCCTTTCTCTCCTTTCTCTTGTTCTCTCCTCCAACATCTCAGAGTTGACTTCGAGGAGTCGCAGGTAGTATATACTTGCTACTTACACATACCTTTATATAAGTAATATACAGTAACACGTGTTTGTATATACGTATAAGCATCTGACGTATCGAGTATCGCGCCTTGTCGATGCCTGTCCGCAGACCGCAGGTAAGAGAAACCCCATCATGCTAAAAAATTCTTTGGCAATTCGAAGGAATGCCTATTCAGAAGTCTAACTATGAATATGGGGATCCAAATATGAATTATAATAGCTAAGCTCGAGGGCGGATCGTCGACCTTTTGTTTCTTTTCTTTCTTTTCATTAACTTGAATAAACGTAAGAATCTCGTTGCGGTTGATTAATAATACCCACACCGTATTCAAATGATTTAAATGAACTTGTATTATTGAAATATACTTATACTTATATAGATATATCCGATAGAAAATTACAGGTGAATTTAGAAATTCTCGGTTACACACATCTTAAGAAAAATGGTAAGATATGATAGAAGAAGAATTTTCATGCATTTCAATACAAACGATCTTCAGTATTCTCCTTGATGGTCCTTCTCGTTTTACACGTATTTTGCAACTAGCCCTTCCCTTCCTTACATTTCAAAGAAGCAACCACGATGGGTTAATTTATTTGACCCATCCGACTACACGCTCGCTTCCAATTAGTTTCCATGACGTTAAGCAGATCCTTTTATATTCTATCGTGCTTTATTCTTTTCTTCTTCTACTTTTTTTTTTCTTATTTCGGACAAAAGACGATAGGTCGATAGATGCTTGTGCTTAAGAGAGACCATGCCAGTGAAAGTATATACTTAATCCCAGCCAATCCAATTTTCTTCTTCTTTTTGCCTTTAAACGTTGAAATGATTGTAAAAGAGCCGAAAGACTTTCTTGCACTTTCGTAGACGTTAAAAACCAACGTCGTGACTATCCCATTCATTTGAACGTAGAAAGGATCCAAGGATCGAGAAAGCACACAGGGATTTTCGAGGTATGCCACAACGGCTTGTAGTATGTATGTATTTCGAATGCTTCGACCGTGAGAAACGTGAGTAAACGCTGACTGGCATCAGCGGTTCTCTTTCACATTGTTCTCTGCCTCAGGCACACCACGTGGACGTGGACAAATATTAATAGATGGTTTCATAATTGATCTCGTATTTCATGATTTATTAGAAGAAATATGTCTTTTCTGATGATACCTAGACGAAATACTGAATTAAGTTGATGAAACATATAAGTATGATACATGATAGGCAGGAAGGTAGTATTCATACGTACTGATTAGAACGAATACGTGTTTCCGTTTCTTAGATAGTTCAATTGCTCCGATTGAAGCTTATCTTTACAAGGGGTTTTTCTTTATGTTAAAATATAAAAGAAATTTGTACGATTATAGGGTAGTATAATTCAAATTTTTTGATAGAATCGTATAAAACTTTGTACATCGTAATAATCACATATTGAAAAATAATATGTATTTATAAATTTATGTTAATACATAAGTATACCAATTTAGAAATCATATTTGTATTAAAATTGATAAAAAAAATTACACGATCCTGCCAGGATTCGAACCTGGAATCTTCTGATCCGTAGTCAGACGCGTTATCCGTTGCGCCACAGGACCGACCTTGGAGATGTGCTCTATAATATGAGTCTACTCCCTTTAGCAAATAATTTTAAAAAATATTTTTTATTTATATTATTATACGTAAGTTGATGAATTTGTAGAAATTAAATGAATCATTTGAAAGAAAAATGATAAGACTGCAATTAAATAATAATTAACGAGCTATTTTCTACTCAAAAATTGATTCAATCATTAAAATAACATTATAATCAAATTTTCTTTAAATTGTGAAAATAAATAAATATATATATATATATATATTCAATCTTTTAAAGATTATTTTAAGCTCACATTAAAGTAACATTTTATCTAACTATAATTATCATTGTGCTTTCATATCTCTTGTTATCCGATCCCAACGTCTTGTCAGTGAAGAAGTTCTATTCTTAAATTCTTGGTACACTCGTGACGATTCGCGAGTTATGATTAATTACATCATATGCTATAATAATTTCATAGGAATGGATTACAATCACATTCGTTTCTAACAATAGAGTCTTGGATCTCAAATTCTACAATTAATACAATTTCTTTGAATGAGGCGTTAACTTGTCCATTAGATAAATATCCAAAGTTAATGTTTGTATTTAAATGAAGTATTGTATTATATCGATAAAAATGATTTATCGAAAGGATCGAAAGACCGTGGGAAACATCGGATAGATATATACATACATATATGTATTTATCGTATTTCACCGCAAGCTAAACATTAAATGCCACTCCTGCATGTTATTTCATATCCGGGAACATCTTTGTTGAAATACAAATTGTACCAACGAGATTTTCTCAATTATCTGACACTTACGATCTAAATGAGATCTAAATTATTTACGATTTACACGTAAATTTCATAGGTAAGAAGTATTACATATATTCATTGAATGAAACCTTACTAATTAGATAGTTGATTTTTGAATTAGTTATTTTTATATTTGGAAAGAGAGATTGAGAGATTATTCAATGAACTAAATTGAAAATTGATAATAATTTAGCAAATGATAATCAATTAGGCTAGTTTTAATATCCATGTATATTAAAAATTGTCATTTATTTTTGTTCCAACAAATATCTAGCATTCACACAGCTATTGGTTACCATGGTAACAGCGCCACTGCAGCCGCCGCTGTTGCCGCGTACTACAGCGCATGCTTCGAAAAACAAATTTGATGGAGGGGGTAACCGAGTCACGATTTCATTCGATTTCATCCGAAATCATCCGAAGGGCCGTACGGAGTATGTGCCCCCATGAGTTTGACCGTTAAAAGGCTAAAAAGAGAAATAGGTAAACGACAGAGAGAAAGAGAGAGAGAGAGAGAGAGAGAGAGAAGAAGAAGAAGAAGCAGAGAAATTGGTTAAGTATATTATACGCGTGCGCATTGGAAAAGGATAGAGGGAAAGAGATCGTGGGACGGCATTGGTAGTGGTGACGCGTTCGGTAAGAGGGAGATGGTATAGTCGCGTCATAAAAGTGGGGGACGGAATCTCCCCTTGCAAGCAGAAGCAACGAACAGTTTCTCGGCTCCCGACACGGGTATCCTACAGTCGACGAGTTAGTTCTCTAGAGTGAAAGAGGGAGAGAAAGTCTAGTAATATATACAAGAGAGAGAGAGAGAGGGGGGAGAAAGAGACTCTACCAGACGAATCGAAGAAGAAACGAGAGAGAGAGAGAGAGACAGACAGAGAAGAAAGAAAGGGAGAGAGGGAAGAATAAGAGAGATAGGGAAAGGGCGCGCAGGAAGTAGAAAGAGAAAAGCAAAAGGGAACGCAACTTCGGTAGAACTCGCGCGCGCAGTTGTGTCCTCGTGTCGTACGGCATTTCTGAACGCAGCCATTACAGAAGAGAACTGCTCGGTGACGGGTCTGTGCTTTACAGACGGTCCTAGTGCATAGTCGCCGTTTAATACAGCACTCGTGCGCGTAGTGATTCGATCTCGAAGCGCAACAGGAGGAGGACGCGCGCGCTATCTTCGATAGTCGTCGTCAACAAGCACGTGGTTCATTCACGTTTTCGCCTATATAAAGAATAAACACGGTGCTGCTGCTGCAAGGTGGTCGTTGCACCGCGTTTCTTCACGGAAGAAGAAAAAGAAAAAAACGAAAGGAAGTTTCTGTAATTGAGACTATTGTTTACATTATTTGACTTTTTGTTTTTCAAAAAATCCTCTCTGTTTATCATTGTGATTACAATTAAGAGAGAAGGATAACATTTCTTGTTACGGAAAAGGAAGTGGACGAAAAGACAAATTTATTATTGAAATTATACGATTATTATAGTATAAGAGAAAAACAGCAATCATGTTTGATGTTTTTGGCTCAGTGAAGGGTCTACTCAAGTTAGACTCCGTGTGCATCGACAATAATGTATTTCGTTTGCATTATAAAGCAACCGTGATCATACTGATCGCGTTTTCCTTGCTGGTAACCTCGAGACAGTATATCGGCGACCCTATCGACTGTATTGTTGATGAAATACCGGCCAACGTAATGGACACTTATTGCTGGATCTATTCAACCTTTACCGTACCAAATCGTGGTGGTATAGTTGGTCAGGACGTCGCACACGCTGGTGTACGTAATCACGTAGAAGGGGTGGATGAAGTTAAATATCACAAGTATTATCAGTGGGTATGTTTCACCCTATTTTTCCAAGCGATATTATTTTACGTGCCACGTTATCTTTGGAAAAATTGGGAAGCCGGTAGGATTAAGATGTTAATGCTCGACCTTAATTGCCATCTTACCAACGAAGAAATCAAATGCGAGAGAAGAAAATTATTGGTCGATTATTTGGCATTGAATTTGCATTCTCAAAACTTTTACGCTTATCGATTTTTCTTCTGCGAAATTTTGAATTTCATCAACGTCGTTGGACAAATATACTTCATGGATTTCTTTTTGGATGGAGAATTTTCAACATACGGCTCTGACGTAGTCAAATTCACCGAATTAGAACCGGAGGATCGGGATGATCCTATGTCCCGTGTGTTCCCAAAGGTAACCAAGTGTACCTTCCACAAATATGGTGCTTCCGGTACGGTACAAAAGTTCGACGGACTCTGCGTACTTCCATTGAACATCGTCAACGAGAAGATCTACGTGTTCCTATGGTTCTGGTTCATTATCCTTGCTGTATTGAGCGGTCTCAGTTTGGCTTATCGTGCTGCTGTTATTGCCGGACCAAAGTTGCGTTTAATGTTGCTTCGTGCCCGTTCACGTTTATCCGACAAACATGATATCGAAATGATCGCACAAAAATGTCAAATAGGCGATTGGTTCATCCTTTATCAATTGGGTAAGAATATCGACCCGTTGGTTTACAAGCAACTTGTATCAGATCTTGCCTTAAAGTTACAGGGCAAAGAAACGGTCTAATCAATTTCATTTTTGTTACAATTCAATCATTGCTGTTTTATCCAATTTTTGTCCTGAAAGTCATTCGTTATTAAAAAAAAAAAAATAGTCATTGTGAAAAAATAAAAAAGATAGGAGAATGAGAAGTCGAGGATATAAAAATCCATGGATTATTTTCAATCGAAAATCCAACGCAATCGCAAGAATCTTTTTCTTTGTTTTCGTCGACTGATCCTCTCGTGGTATCTCAAAATAATAATAATAAAAATAATTATTTGAGAATTCATTTCGTTTACGAAAGGATCCAGTCATGATTATCTATTTAATACGCCACACACATGCTTGTTGATAGCGCTTTAAGAAAAATAAATAAAAAAAAAAAAAAAACGACTACTATTAATCAATATCGCCATAGCCATTGATTATAGTTCTAATCTTGCTTTTTTTTTCTCCCTCCACTTAACTCGCGCTTTTCTTTCTTTAAGTTCGATTATGATTTATCGTTTTCTTTATTCTTGATGAAGAAATACCCTGAGATTCTTGCGATTGCCATTCGACGATTAATACAAATCACCACTTTCATGTTAATCATTTATGTAAGTTCATCCTACAGAAGTGAATTTACATAAGTGATACCAAAACGAATGGGAACGATTAACAAATGAATGATATAGAAATTAAGAAAGAAAATAAAAATATATATATAAGACCCCTTTTTCTTCCCCCTTTATAAAATAATTAGATTTTTATTTCAATCATTGTTCGTTTTTAACCCTTTGAGTGGTGAATTTTACAATTGCCTAAAATATTTTGTAAGAAACAGAATTGTTTATTATTAACTAAATTCTAATAATAAACATATATTTAATAATTAAAGTATAATAAATAAAAATATAATTTAATTAATTTAAAATAAACATTATATTATTTTACATTAATATAAACAAATACATATGTGTTGATAGACCACTCTGATAATTTGTTACCAAACGCATATATGCGTCCATAGCACTCAAGGGGTTAATATTTCACCCATAGTTATGTAAGAAAGAAAAAAATAAGAAGATCAGTAATAAATATTTTGATTTTCTTTCTATTAATTTGTTTTATATAAATTTTGTATAAACCATAAGATAAAAACATATATATGGGGTCTAAAAACAAACTGAACATTTGAAACATGAAAGCAAAAAGAGAGAGAGAGAGAGAGAGAGAGAGAGAGAGAGAGAGAGATAAAGAGAGTAATTATCAACCGATGGGGGAACATAAGAAATATTTTTCTAAAAAAATTTTGTCCTAGGTTATGTATAATATATTTTTAGAATATTTCTGGAACTCGTAGACCATCGCCGGTCTCTAATAGTGTGATAAATCGGAGGACGGCGTCTCCCTTCTTTTTTTTTTCTTTACTTTACTTTACTTTGTCCCTTTATTTGCTCCCTTACCCTTATCTTATATTATTTTTTTCTTTTCTTTCCCTTTTTCCGTCGCTGCAAGATTACACACAGTATAATCTCACTGCCCGCGTTTTATCGCAACAGATAGTAAAAACAACTTTAACTAAACAAAGGGGGGGGGGGCAAAAAAAACACTGAAAAAAACTTTTTTTTTTTTATAACATTGTAAAAAGTAGATTATCTTTTTTATTCAACATTCCTATCACATTCGTTCTTTCAAGTATTTCATTTTATTTTATTTTTATTCCTTATAAAAGTGTGTACTAAATATAATTGTATTTTATGCTATAAACATTTTTCAACTATAGTAAAGAAATTAAATTTAAACAAAATTACAATAAACAAAGAACGTAATTGAATTAATCATAAGTTGAATATAATCATCCCCTATATATAAAGTTGTGTTTCCTTTAAAGCATTAATATTACCTTTGTTCATACACCTTTTTATAGAAATATATATATATATAGAGAGAGAGAGAGAGAAAGAGAGAGAAAGAGACCGCCGCTATATTTTGTTTTCTCACGTTGTCCTCCCATACAATTTTTCCATTATTCTTTTTTCTTCCCTTTTTTGTGTCCTATCAATTATTATTTTTTTTTATATATATATAGCAAGTAATAAAATAATAATAATCATATTATTGTGTTGTATATTGTAGTACGTTCTCATTTCTTATATGGGAAAGAGAGAGAGAGAGAGAGAGAGAGAGATACATTTATATATATATATATATATATAAATGTTGAATAAATATAGTTTATGGTGATATAGTAAGAACGTGTCTGTATGCGTATGTGTGTTTGTGTGTATGCAATATGTATGAAGAAAGAAAGAGAGAGAAAGAAATAGATAGATATAAAGTTAATGTACGAAAGAGAGTAATAGAAAGTTTAAAACTAAAAAAAAAAAAAAAAACTGAGAGAAAGAGAGACAATGTAGATATATTATGAGATTCTGATTATATATATATATATATATATTTTTACATTTATGTTATTTTCATATCCAATCTTTGCTATAAAAAAAAAAAAGAAAAAAAAAGAAAAAAGAAAAAAAATACGCAAAAAAGAAAATAAACAATCATACATTCCACGCACAAAAAAGGACATAATAATAATAATGATAATGATAATGATAATGATAATGATAATGATAATGATACATGTGTGTGTATCTGTATATGAACGTGTACGAACAAAGACGTGAAGATGTTTATTTATCACACGTTCAAATCACGTTTAAATTTAAGGGACCAAAATGAGATAAAAACGTTCCTCCGTTCTACTCCATTTTTTAATTTTTTTTTTTTTTTTATTATAAATATACATTTACATGTGTATAATATTGAAATCTTATTTACGGTGGACAGTCGTATATTTTGTATAACATATATTATGTCTGTCGTATATGTTTATTTTGTTTTGGTACTAACACTATTGCGACGACATAATAAAAAGACAACCGTCCCTGCGTGTTTTATATGGGGATATGGGGGTTACCGTAATAAATAAATAAATAAATAAATAAATCGAATGTGTAATTGTAATACGATATATATATATATATAGTTATACAAATTGATACAAATTCAACCACACACGAAGTGAGACACGTGTTCTTCTCAAAGCGTAATTATTTTTGATAATCATATATTATTATAAATCTTACAAAAATAAAAAAAAAATAAAAATAAAAAAAAAATATTAAACGCAATGAGCATCGGTAGACTGAACAAAATATTACATCAAATAATAATAATTATAATTATTATTATTATTATTGTATAAAATAATAATTGATAATAATTTAAGAAGTTTACAAAGTTCGATAAATAATATTAATAATAATAATAGTAATAATAATAATAATAATAATAATAATCTAATAACCTATACATATATTAATTAAATGTATAGACAACATTTTATGATGTAATATGATGATGAATTTAAATAATATTGACGAATGAGATTGATTTGATATATTGGTGGTAAAAAAAAATTAGATAATTTTTTAGGAAACAATTTGCGTAAGGTTTTATTTTTTCGATTAATACAATTTTCAAGGATTAACTTAACAACTTGGTAACCCTAGAAAACCCACGGCAAGGATATCATTATTTTTCTATTGATTGATATAAAATGTGACAATAAGAATTTGCGAGAAAAAGTATGAACATATATATACATATATATGTATAATTCCCTATTGTCAATTTTAAACGTATTTTCTAATCGTTCATGCGTCCTTTTTTTAAGACTGTCGAGAGTTATCGAAAAAAAAAACGCTCCATAATAATGATTCTCATATTTTTTTGTTTTTTTTCCCTAGACACCCCACCTCTCTCAACCCTCCTTTTTTTTTTTACTTTCTCTATTTTTTCACCCATTTCTTTTTCCCTATTTTTCCTATTTTTCTTTCTTTTGTGTGTGTTGATCGTATAAGTTTCGAAGTATGCGAAAAGAGAGAGAGAGAGAGAGAGAGAGAAAACAAAATGGCATGCGTGTCGGCGCCATTATTTTTTGAAAAATATTTGGCGGTGCGATATTTTTTTTTGCATAATTCTATTAATTATAATAATAATAATAATAATAATAATAATAGTAATTATAATAATAATAAAATAATAAAGATAGTATTACAAAAAATAATAATAATAGTTGTGTAGTATTAATAATAGTAATAGTAATGGTAAATAGTATTAGTAAATAGTATTAGTAAATAGTATTAGTAATAGTAGGAATAACATGAAACAGAAGAAAAGGAAAAAGAAAAATCTCTGAGAAAGACCAAAAGTCACCCACATCTCCAACTAACTTCTTCGAGTTCCGTTTACGACATTTATGATGCGTTATTCGTTCTTCGTAAAAGTGCCAACGTGCGTATGCATTATATCTGTCATTATCATTTCATCACTTGCATACGCATGAAACAGAGATAGAGAGAAGAGATATACGTAATTATTATAGTTGGAAAAGATGAAAAAAAATAAAAAACGATAAACATACACACCACACACATTATCATACATACATACACACTACGCACATCATACATACATATATACACACCACACTTATCATAGATACATACATACACACTACATACATCATATATACACACTACACACATTATACATATACACTACACACATCATCC